GCATAGTAGCAGCCGTAGCATCGGTCAAGAGCTGGGCATGAGTCATCAAAAAAATTTTATGAACAATTGAAAATTCAATAAAAATACCACAAGAAACACCGCAGGACTCTTTTGACAAACTATTATTATATCTTAACTATATATTTTAGTTTATTTATAACATACTGCAAACTCAATGTAACTAAATAAAAATGTACAATATTCTAAAATTATTATATTTTTTATTAAAATAATTAGAAAAAGTAAATATGCAGAATATATTCATAAAGAATTACCAATGAAATCATAAACRAAATAAACTTTCAAACTTTCGTAATGATTGTTAACAAGTTAACAAAGCTTTCTCTACATTATTTCATGAGGTCCCGAACCCTTCCATTTTTATACCCTGAACAGGATATATTAAGTGTGTCACGAAGTTTGTAACACAATGAAGGAAGCGTCGGAGATCCTATAAAGTATATATATATAAATGATCAGTATATTGAGCTGAGTCGATTTAGCCATGTCCGTCTGTCTATATATATACGAACTAGTCCCTCAGTTTTTAAGAAATTGGTTTGAAATTTTGCAACCATCCTTCTCTCTTCTAAAAGCTGCTCATTTGTCGGAACTGCGGATATCGAACCACATATAGCTGCCATACAAACTGAACGAACGGAATCAAATTCTTGTATGGAGAACTTTCTCATTTGACAATGTATAGTATCTTCACAAATGTTGGCACAGTTTATTTTCTAAGATAATAATGTAATATACGAAGTAATTGTTCAGATCTGCTTACTATAGCATATATCTGCTATACAAACTGAACGATCGGAATCTAGTGCTGGTATGGAAAACATGCATTTGATAAGATATCTTCACGAAATTTGACATGGATTACAACTTAAGGTAATAATATAATCTCCGAAAAAAATTTTTCAGATCGGATTACTATAGCACATAGCTTCCATACAAACTGGACACATAATTACTAAAAGAAATGCACCTGTGAAGGGTATATTAGCTTCGATGCAGCCGAAGTTAACGTTTTTTCTTGTTCAGTTTACGAAAGTAACTTCTGTAAACACAAATATTGTAAAGTACACATATGTATATGTATAAGTATATATAGTTAAGAATTAGAACGGTTATAATTCTATTCTACTATACAAAAAGTATACCCATGTTTTATAAAATCTTCCTAGATCAAATTATAATTTCCAAAACATATAAAATAATCAAATCACTACGTTCGCAATTTTTTAAATTGCCACAAATTAACTAAAAATTTTTTGATTTAGTTCGAATTGTTTTTTATTATTTGAAAAATCAAATTATTTGATTTGTCAAAAATCAAGAAGCAAGTTAGAATTTTGTATATCCATGTTTTCGCTGAACTTATCGGTAATAACCAGAAAAAATAATTTTCTATTACTGTTAGGCGGCAAAACTTTATATAAAACAAGTAAGGAAGGAATAAACTCGGGTGCAACCGAACATTTTATACACAGATACACTGTTATCGGTAAAACACGCTCCCTCCTTTTGATAACTCACATATTGGCTGATATAAATATGTACTTATGCGGTACAAAGTGACCCGAAAGTTCGAAAAACTTTATATTAAGTGGGGTTAAGTTAAGTATTGATCCGATTCAACCCAATTTTGACATACAGACATACCATTGTAAGAAGAATTATGCCTTCATTTCAGATATACATATATACCACACATTGTCATTTAATCAAAAAGTGGGCGGTGCCACGCCCATCGTACAATTTTTATAGCAGCTTCTATAAAGCTTCCTCATACCATCTCGGTGGTAAAATTAACTGTGTGGCGTATTTAGTTATTGATTTATCGCGCTTTTAGTAGTTTTTAACAGTACCGTTATATGGGGAGTGAGCCGAGTTATCCTTCGGTCTTGTTGAAATCAAATGTTGCCGAAATAACGAACTTCAATTTCAGACATAAATCATCATACATTCGAGGAACTTCTCAAGAGCCCATTGAGCGAAAAGACTTCGCTTGGGAAGGTCGAACGGTATTAGGTCTTGCCCAAGCCGTATTTTGCGCATTTCCAATTTAAGATCTCAACGTAAATTGCGCCAAGTCGTTTCATACGTTAACTGATATTTTCGGTAAAAAGTCAGCCATGTGCAGTGGGGTCCTAATTTCAGTACTTGGGGCCTTGAAAAGTTGAGACGGGCCCTACGTTTTTGACTTTTAGGTAATTGGACCCTACTTTGTGAAAAGATTTCCTGCAATAACTCCATTGATTCTCGATTTATAATTTGTAAAATAAAAGAATCAGATGAAATGTAAAATTGTTATACAGTGCACTCGCGAAAACTCGAACGATCGGAATTGAACTTTTTTTTTCTCCATTTGCTATTTTAAATCTCTAACTAAATTAAACGGCTCTAAAACTCGAACAAAAATTTTCCATTATTTTATTATTTTTCATATTTTATTTATACATACATATTCGTACTGTTGTTTGTTAACATGTCCACCTCAGTATACAGCTAGAAGTTGCGGAACACCGATTCGTGCACTGTTGTTAGATGCGAATAATTTTTATTACAGAATGGGATGAAAATTGAATGTTTCGAGCTTAGCAAAAAAGGCTGAAATAATTAATGCAGTCAAAAATGGTGGAAGTGTTTCAGCTCTATCCAAAAAATTCAAAATTTTTAAGTTTTAGAATGTATTAAAATACGCTATCGGGCCCTGGAAAACGTAAAACGCTCCGTGTTTCAGAACTTTCGAAAATGACAAAGGCACTATCCAAATGATTTTTATTACAACGTAGCAAGCATTACCCGATAAACGGACTGATTTTAAAAGAAGAAGCTAAGGAGTTTCTTGACAAGTTAAGCAAGGACATTTCAAGGTTTTTTGCCAGCGATAGATGGCTTCAAAAAACAAAAAAAAAAAAGAACATGGAATACGCCTTAGTTCAATCTCAGTGAAAAAATTATCTTCGGGACCGGAACTAGTAAAGCCGTTCAATCTGCAATCATTGCGCGAAAAGGCCATATCGAATTCGGTCGCAAATAAGAAACGTCAAACAAAAATCACTGTTTTTTCTAACAATTACAAAACAACCGTCATCTTACATACACATTTTCCTTATATTATTTATTAAAAAATAAAAATAAAAATGTTTGAATAAACTCGACATGAATCATAAAACAGTAAACCACACAATTTTGAAAAGTGTAAGAAAATAGAACTGTTGTAAGTATGAAATCTGATAAACAAATAAATAAATCAAAATACATAATATTCGAAGACTCGAACAATATCTCACGCATGGTTTTCATTAGTTCGAGTTTTCGCCAGCGCACTGTATATAGGAAGTAGGCGTGATTGTTATCCAATTGCTCATTTTCACACTGTAACATTAGGACGTAAATATTATATTGTGTACCAAACTATTATATCGGTACTGGGCGGAGTTATAATGCAATTTACCCCATTTTGAAATTATCGGACTAGATGGCAAATATATTTGCTTAGATGATATTGGATTGGTTCAGCTTTAGCGGTTTGGAAAATACATACATATATACAATAAACTTATCAGGGGCAGAGTCACGCCCAATTTTTGAAACCACAATGTCCCTCCCTAATTCGATTCGTTGTACCAAATTGCATTTTTATACCTCATTGTGGAACTTAGTTATGACACTTTATAAGTTTTCGATCAATGATGTTTTTTGGGCCTACCAGTGTTCCGATTCCGCCCATTCGCAATACCAAATCTATCTTGTCCCCAAGAAACACGTGCGCCAAGTCTCATCATGATATCCGCATTTTTTACTCAAATTACCCGGATTTCAAATTGTCACGTCATACTGATCATTTATACCCGGTTTTCCGGTATGATTGATGATTGACATGATTTCATTGCATTCAATAATGTTTACATTTTCATAATAGAAAGATATACGCAAGAACAACGTTTACGAATTATTAAATTTTATTATCAAAATAATCGTCCTCCAACCTTTCGTGCGCGTTTACTATTTTATGTTCGTAATAATCGTCCACCTATGCTCGCTATTCGTCGAATTGTTGAAATTTTCCAGCGTACTTTTACTTCACATAATGTGGCCAATAAACCCTATATCTACCTCCGTTAGTTTCAGGTTATATAGATAAACGTCAGGTTATATAACGAGAGTATAAAAACCTTAAGGAATATAAAATAAAGACATGTATAGGCAAATAGAAAAAGATATTTCTGTACACGAAAATTTTGCGGTGGATGCTACTATAGAAAAAGAAAATGGCATGGAAAATACTACCTGTAACTTTAAAGCAATTATCCCTTAATTTAGGAAATTTAAAATTTTTTTTAACACGCGTGACACATTTTTTATAATAACATAAAAAAATATCAAGCTTCGCAAAGGCTTATAATTTGTTTGACATGATTTCATTAACATAAATTAAATTAAATATGTTATTTGGCCTTAGGATAAATGAAGATATACCCAGTAAATGTCCTAAATATTTATTTGATATCTGCAGAATTAAATTTCTGTTTAAGATGCATCAATCGAGTCTTCTTTCAGTACACACATGACAACTGTATAAACACCTGAATGTTGGAGAGATAAAATACATTGAATATTATTTCTGTATGGGCTATTATAGTGTTGCCGTTTTCAAAAATTATATACATATATATGCCCTCTTGTTACAGGTGCAACGAAAACGGAGTACAATTAAATTCACCCCACCAAAAGACACATTAAATGTTGCACAATGCATAATGCTGGCAGATATGTATAAAGGATTCCCATGTCTTTGGGATGAAACAAATATATCATTTAGATTCAATAATAGGCGACAAGAAGCATTAACTGCTCTGCAAGAAGAATTTAATAAACAATCTGGAAAAAATCTAACACAAAATGAATTGAAATACGAAATCGCACGACTGCGCAAAATATGTACTAATGAAAAGAAGCAAAAATTGTTATGCCAACGAGAAAGTTTGATTTATAAACCAACATGTGTATATTACGCCCACATTGCATTTCTCGAGGTCAACGTACAGCCTTTTATATGTACGATATGCCAAAAATTAGATTTAAGTTTAGATCAACATAAAATACATTTGGCATCACATGATGGTTCTTCGCCATTCAAATGTCCTCTATGCAAACGTGGGTTTCAGGCGGCAACTAATTTTACTGTTCATTTACGGAGACATGTACAGGATTACATTTATAATTGTGAGATTTGCAATAAGGCACTCGCAACAACTACAGATTTGAAAACACATATGCGTTGTCATACTGGCGAAAAACCATTTATTTGTGAGATTTGTGGCAAAAGTTATCGATCCATATCACAATTTAATTCCCATATGCATTGTCACGACGATCAACCACAGTATAAGTGTGATCTTTGCCATAAATCGTTCTATAAAAAAATTACCCGAAAAGAACATATAAGCTGTGTTCATCACAAAGTGCGTGATAAAATCTGCCCAATATGCAATAAAGCATTCAAAAGCACAAAGCACTTACGGCAACACAAAGAAATCCATGCCATCGAAAAGAAATATGTGTGCAAGATTTGTGACAAACGTTTTGCACAATATGCTGGACTTAATGGACATGTGAAGACACATGGCACAACACTCACTGAAATGACCTGTAAAAATACTAGCATGCCATAAAAAGTGTTGATTTAAAATTTAAAATATTCTGTTGATTACCGAATTTGTATTATTAAAAACGCCGTGAGTTAGATTATCTAAAAATAAGTGGGTTTAGTTGTTTTATATTTTAACCATGCGTTGCAATTTTTGTTTAGTTTATATTTAATGAAATTAAATAAAAATGTAAATTATTGTAGTATTAATGTAATTTATTTTTAATAAAGAAAATAAATATGCATCATTTATTAAATAATTTACGATTAAAAGAAAAATGCATCCTAGAATATCATAAACGAAGCGAAGTTTCAAACTTTCGTAACTATTATAAACAAACAAAGACTTGCTTAAATTACTCCATGACGTCCGAACCGTTATATTTTGTGTGTAATAAATTCATACTAACTCATGTTTGGTAACATTTTCCGAATTAAAATATAATTTCCCAATAAAACAATAAAGGCTGAAGCCGCATATTTTATATTCAATTCGAATAATGTTTACCAAACACATTTTTTAAATTTGGCACAAAATAACGGAAAATTCTTTGATTTAGTTTAAATCTCTTTATTAATTTGTGAAATCAAATTGTCAAGAAGCAACTTCTTAACTCGCTTAATCATTGTTTTCGCTAAATGTATCGGTAACAATCGGAAATAATAAATTTCTATTACTGTTGGACGGGGAAATACTTTATTGTTTTGCTAAATTTTATATTAAGGGGTCGGTAGGGTAATAGGTTTTGCATTTTCTGTTTCCTTATACCCTTAAAATTAATGTAGAAACCCAATTTACCAATGGAAGGATTAGAAAAAACAACAAAAATAATAATACCGCTCGACGTTCGGAGCGCTCGGAGTGCACACCTCGAAGTTTAAACGCGTTTTTCTCAAAACATACTTTTTTAAACTGGCGGACATGATTCCGGTCAATCTACTCAACCGTTTTGCTTAATTTTGTTTTTTTAAATGTTCACAAAACCCCTGGCTATCGTTCTTATCGTTTTTTATAATTTATTGACAATGTTATGACAAAATTTATGTAAACAAATGTTAATTACTTTTTTATTTATCAGCATTTTTCCATGATTCTAATAGAGACGATAACTATTCACGTACTTTTTAAGAATAAACTGGGTTTTTGTCTTTCAGATGATCTAAACATGAGAAATCTTGTCCGCCAGTGAAAAAACGCATCTCATTCACCCAACCATTTCTCCGAAAATTGTTTATACACTCTACGATATACCTCATGATATGTGAAAAAAGTTCTATTGTAGAATAAAAATTTCTATGAAAAAAAATTTATAACACAGGCCAGATTACCCTATGTTCGGGTGTTATCGGAACTCCTACTACTCTTGTAATTTACAAAAATAAAATCCATGAAGTACTTTCCGCAAAACTTATTTTAAAATATTGCGTAAGGATTCAACATACATTGTTCGAAAAACTAAATAAATTACTATCAATGTTGGTACATTATTGGCCTTAGATTTACCTAATTTCATTACTACATTTTGGCTGTCCGAAATATTTATATTAAAATTAATAAAAATAGTTAATTAATTAAAATCTAATAAACATATTAGGGGAAAGTCATACCAATTTCATTTATATTATGCGTTAAATCAATAGAGTAAGATTGCATTTACGGAATTACTCAATTACACTCCATATCATGTTTTAACGCAAGTTCGTGAATATAATTCACACCACCGACCAACATATTGAGCATAAAGTCTAATAGACTAACAAAAATACACATTTCGGCACGAAACTATTTAAGTCCAATATTCTTCTTCTTCTTTACTGGCGTAGACACCGCTTACGCGATTATAGCCGAGTTAACACCAGCTCGCCAGTCGTTTCTTCTTTTCGCTRTGTGGCGACAATTGGATATTCCAAGCGAAGCCAAGTTCTTCTCTACTTGGTCCTTCCAACGGAGTAGAGATCTACCTCTTCCTCTGCTTCCGCCGGCGGGTACAGCGTCGAATACCTTCCTGGAGTGTTTTCGTCCGTTCGGACAACATGACCTAGCCAGCGTAGCCGCTGTCTTTTAATTCGCTGAACTATGTCAATGTCGTCACATATCTCATACAGTTCATCGTTCCATCGAATGCGATATTCGCCGTGGCCAACGCGCAAAGAAGGATAAATCTTTCGCAGAACTTTCTTCTCGAAAACTCGCAACGTTGACTCATCAGTTGTTGTTATCGTCTAAGCCGCTGTACCAAATAGCAGGACGGAAAATATGACTGACTTATAGAGTTTTGTTTTTGTTCGTCGAGAGGGGACTTTGCTTCTCAATTGGCTACTCAGTCCGAAGTAGCACCTCTTGGCAAGAGTTATCCCCTTTGGATATCCAGGCTGACATTTTTGGTGGTGTTTACGCTGGTTAGAAGATAGATGAAATTATCTACGACCTCAAAGTTATGACTGTCAACAGTGACGTCAGAGCTGTTTTTTGATGACAGAAGATATTTCGTCTTGCCCTCGTTCACTGCCAGGCCCATTTGTTTTGCTTCCTTGTCCAGTCTGGAGAAAGCAAAACTAACTGCGCGGGTGTTGAGGCCGATAATATCAATATCATCGGCATACGTCAGCAGCTGTACACTCTTATAAAAGATTGTACCTGCTCGATTAAGTTCTGCAACTCGAATTGTTTTCTCCAGCAGCAGATTGAAGAAGTCGCACGATAGGGAGTCGCCTTGTCTGAAAACTCGTTTGGTATCGAACGGCTCGGAGAGGTCCTTCCCGATCCTGACGGAGCTTTTGGTGTTGCACAATGGAGTCATGTGTAGAAGTTAACGCAAGAGAGAAAAGTTCTCTGATCGCCATTCACTTGGTAGAGGCCAGAAACGATTCTTTTACATATGGCTCAAGCAGCTCACGACTTCCGGTCCTTGACCAAGTATCCTCTGGGTAGGGTAGTAGGTGAGAAGGCGAAACATCCCCTGCGTAGTGCGCTGGCTTTGAGACCCACCACGTAAAAAAACACCCCTCAATGAAATTAGCATGTCCAATATTAGGTTTATTTAATTTTGCTAAGATATCTTGTATATTGACTACAATGTGTATACATATATCGTATAAAGCCAATCCGTAGTTTGAAATACTATTTTTAAATAATACCCATATACCTAATTGGTTGTATAGGATAGTTGACCCGATTTCATCCCAAAGTAACTGATATATGCGGTCTAAGGTCAACCGGAATTTCGAAAATCTTTATATTAGGTATGGTCTGGTGACTAGAAGTATTTACCCATTTTTGTACACAAAGGCATATTCCCTTCGAATTTAAATGCTAAACCTCACAGATTAACCGTTATTTTCAGTAAAATGTGAACCATGGGCACCGGGGCCTCTCGTTCAGTTTCTGATGCATTGAAAAGTTATAATCCGTTTTCGACAATTTTTAGGCAGAAGATGGAATCATGGAATCCAAAATTTTATTACAATGACGTCATTGACTCTCGAGTTATAAACGGAAAAATGAAAGAATCAGATGAAATTTAAAATTCTTATATATGGGCAGTAGACATGGTTGTAGTCCGATAGCTCATGATCATAAAATTCTATACCAAATTTGACTGAAATCGGTCAAGTAAGTCCTGAGATGAAGTTTCATCTAAATGTGGGCGCTGTCACGCCCATTGTACAATATTGCCGTCTGCCCCTATGAAATTCATTTGTGCCAATCTAGATGTAAACACTTGTTATATGGGTAGTTGGAGGGGTTATAATATGATTTACCGTATTTCCACATTGTCGGAGGGGGTGTGTTCCTGATGGCAATCACAAAAGCAGTGTTTCAAATTTGGGCGTACAAAAAACCTGGGCGTACCTGCCATCTTTGCCAAATTTGAAAGTTCGAAAAAGCATCATTGTCTTAACTGTTACGTAAAACTACGCAATTCTTTCAACATTTGAAAAGTAGTTGCACAAATATTTACACCAAAATCAACTGTCCTTCGTTAAAGTATCACGTTCGGCATGAAATTATGCTAACACTTGCAACAGCATCATGTTTTACAAAAAATAAGCAACACTAAAATTTTCATCAGCAGAATATCAATTATTGTCTCCCTTAAGAAGTATAAAATATTAGTGATGAATTTTGTTAACAACTGAGTTGATTTAGTCAATATAAATACTTAATCAGAAATATTGGTATTTTTATTTATTATCTGCAATGGGGCTTTCGGGTCGAGAGTTTGCATTTTTATATCTATTTAGTTTAACTCATTTGAATATAAAGACCGAGATATGTATCAAAAATTTAGTTTTACAAATGTGCATTTTTGCTGCTTTAAAATCCTAAAAATCTCTCAGATAGTTAGATAAATCGGAAAGTATTTTTAGTACATAAATAATGTAAGCAAATCAAAACAATAAACAAATCATAGAAAACCTAAAGTTTAGCTGTTCTCTCTATACGTCGTCGACTCGACCACTGGTTTTTAGTATCCTTAGATTTTGTTTCGATTTCAGAATACAACAAATTTTGTTTTAGAAGGTTAAGCAATTAATAATTTTGGCTACGATTTACAAAGAGCACATCTGCCTCTGGAATGAAAAGGACATTACATATAGATTAACAAATAGGCGCGACGATGCCATGCGATTTGTATGTGAAAATTTTAATAATAAAACTGGCTTAAATTTGCCTCAAATTGATTTAGAAAAAAAAGTTAAAACCCTGCGGAAATTGTGKTCTTTCATAAAGAACCGAAAACTAGTAGCCAAAAGAAAAAACTTACAATATCAACTAAAATTTGCATATTTTAAACATCTTGAGTTTCTTGAAAATGATGTTGCTCCTTTCGATTGCTCGATATGTAAAAAAGTAATACATGGTCCAGATGCCTTTAAAGTACATGTTGCCGGACATGATGGCTCCCTACCGTTTAAATGTGACATATGCGGACATGGTTATCAGCTGTCTTCAAATTTAGCGGTACACTTACGTAGACATGTACATGACTACACCTACGGTTGTGAGATATGCAACAAATTCTGCGCCACTTCCACAGACTTGAAAACTCATATGCGTTCYCACACCGAGGAGAAGCCATT